GACTCGCGAGCTCCTCCTGAGTCGTCTCTCTGTCTCTGCCCGACAGAGAAGCCGGGTCTGGGTGCTGGCAAGGAGTGGGGCGCAGTGAACATCGGCAGAACAGAACTGGGGGTCACCGCCCAGGGTGGCTTTCCCACGGGTCTCCCCGGGACCCACACAGACTACAGACAGGTTTCTGGGAGGAAGGATTTGGGGGGCGCTCTTGTTCCTGCTGTCTTCAGTCCTGTCTGAGGCTCCGAGAGTCCCCCGCCGGGCCTGCGGCCGCTGTGCCACCGTGAAACTGTAATTGGCTGTCTCCTCTCCGGGCTCTGCCCGAATGAACGTCAGCTCCTTCCACTGACCTGATGCAGCCAGTTTTCTTCTCGATTAGGGCCTGCCACAGCCGATTTAGCGGGGACGACAGGCGCCAGCGTTTTCGAGACATGCAGCCGGGAGCCGGAGATTGGAGTCGTCTGGCTAATGGATGGAGGCTGGGACGGGGGGCACGGGGTGGGGGTGGGCGCTTTTAGCCGACATGTTGCCTTGGGGACGGCTGACGGGTCAGCACTCACGTCGCTGGCTGAGAAGGAGCTTCCCGAAGGTCTGCCGAGACACAGCCGCCGTGTCCTTGGAGCAGGGAGCTGTGGGAGAGAATGGGGGGGGGGGCCTCCGGGAAAACCAAGAATTCAATAAGCAAAATGAAACAATGAAGAACGTGAGCAACATCATTCTTGGCGACCTTATTTTCAAGCCCTTGGTGGGAAGGAAAAGATCAATAAGGAGATTACTGTTTCTTTTCCCAGCGTCAGCGGCGGGGCCCCTCCCTCCCTCCCTCCCTCTCTCCCTCCCCCTCCCTCCCCCCTCCCTCCCTCAGTGGGCTATAGAGGAAGAAAGGCCCTGTGTGGGGAGCAGGTCCCTCTGGCAAGTGGCCAATGAGAAGGCAGGTGTGGACCAAGCCCCACCCAGGCAGGGAGTCTGGGCGTGGGACCCACTGCATGCCGCCCCCACCAGCTGGCCCAGCTTGTCCAGAGTCAGCTGGGCTCAGGAGGCCCTTTCTGTTCTTGCCTGCGGAGTGGGGAGACCAGGGGCTTGGAGGTGGGCGGAGGGCTGGGCATCCCAAGAGAAAAGTGGGTGGTTGGGAAGGGCCAAAGCGCTCTTCCCCTGAAGTCCTCCCGTCCCGTGTGAAGTCTGGGACTCCCGCCAGCCCAGGCAGAGGGGCCGTAGAGCTGGGGCCACCTCCCCAAGAATGGGGGGCACCCACCAGTGTCACCAGAATGCCCCCAGCACCCCTCCCTCAGGCTGGGAGTCGGGGAGGGAGCTGAGGCCCCAGGCGGGGTGTGTGCTGAGGAGGCAGGAGGGAGCCCATGGCTGTGATCCCACAGCTGTGATGACGTGGGGCTTGGGCTGGGCTGGGGGTCCCGGACGGTCGGGCAGGATGAGGCCTTTAAGGGAGAGGTTGCCCTGGGTGCAGGCTGGGTGGGCACAGCTCTCGTTTTGCAGGGAGGGGGCTCGAGCCCCAAAGCGCCCTGGTTGGAGGCTTGGATCAGCTGGTGTGTCTGTGTGTGCCCGGGTGTACTGGAGTGTGGGTGTGTGCCCGCGTGTGTTGTTGCATTGCATTCACCGTGTGTGCACGTGGCCGGATGGGGGGTGGTGGGCGCCCGGAGGAAGGTCGCCCCCCTCGGCCGCCTGGCTCCGTGCCACCTGGCATCCATGACTCACCAGCGTCAGGGGCTGGAGGACAAGCCCAGATCGCGGCCCGCACACGGTTCTGGCACCTTCCGCTGCCTGCTGTGTGATGAATAAGCGTCCGGTGACTCACCGGCTGCCAATGGGCTGTGAGGGCGGGAAGCATCGTTGGGGGCTCAGGCCGGCCTGCTGCTGACCGGTCTCGCTGGGTGGGCTCCCGTGCAATGGAAAGAACTGAGCCCTGGGGAGGCCCCCGAAGGTGCCCCAGGGGACGGGCCCGCGCCTGGGCAGGTCCCGGAGGTCTCGGGGTTTCCACTTTGTCGAGAACAGAGAGCTCTCCAGAGACACATTGTCCCTAAACCTCGGTCCCCTCTGCTGATCCGACACAGTGGCAGAAGGAGGAAGTCCCGCCCCTCCCAGATCCCCGCTCCAAAGCCTCTGGGGGGGTTCACTGCTCCAGGAGCACAAGGAAAAACCCTCACCAAAATCTGGCTCAGGCCCTGCCCAGCACCCCCCCGCCTTCGGTGACCTGTGAGGACCCATAGGCAGCCAGTGCCCTCCTGTGGGTGTGGCCCCTCCCTCGTGGGCGGGGCCCTCAGCTGGGGAGGGGGGGTTCCCCCATCTGAGGCCACAGAGCCTGGTGCCTTTCTTGCAAGGTCGTGTCAGGTCACAGGGACACACGGTGGGGGGCGTGGCACTAATGTGGCTTCTGAGGGCCATCTGTGCACAGGCTCCCACGGGAAACCTCCAAGGGGACCCAAGCTGCACGACACCCCAGACAACGCGGCCTGCCCAGTCCCGGGGTGTTCAGCTGTCTGAAATGAGCCCTGGCCCTCAGTCCCCTTCTCCCCGTGAGGTGGCCCTGGACTTCCCACAAACCCCAGAGGCCAGCGTCCCGCCCATGCAGCTGCCCTCCCACACGCCTTCCGGAAGATCCCCCCAGGAGGACTCCCTGGGCACCCGTGTGGCTTGCCCATCACGGGCTCCCTTCAGGAGCAGGGCCCCTGGGGAAATCGGGAAACTCCAGGACCGGCTGCACCAGACAGAGTCTCTCACTCCGGCCCCCGAACACCCAACACAGTGGCTGAATTCTGTCTCCAGGCCCAACTTTTAATAAAGAGAACTCATCTGCAGCTGTTCCGCCATCAGCCAACATATTCCGTTATTGGAATCTGGGAGACTCAGTGGCAGGCTGGCTGTTTTATTTGCTCGCTGGCGGGACCATTTTTCTTGCGTGTTCCATGCCCTGGAGGATTACTTCCCCTCGCACATCCTGAGCCTCGGATGGTAAATCCATGCTGGGTCCATCGGGCCACTATTTTGCCTTCTGGTGACTCAGAACAGGTATTTGTACATTTGTTTTTCCCTCTGTCATTAGGGTAAATTGCGGAGAAATAGGCTGGTAATTGCAGCGGTAATTACAAGACAATCCCGCTGATTGAGCCGGGGCGGGGCCGGAGCAGTCGGTGGCTTCCGGGGCCGTGTGGCTGGAGCCTGGGCTCCTGAGACTCACAGCTGCCATCTCTTACAGGCAGGGCATCATGCAGTGTCTCGGCCCAAGACATTCTGTGGACATAAAAGTGTGCAAAGCCCCCCCAGGTCTAAGAGTGTCCCTTGAAGGCTGGTCCCACTGAGGTGGGAGGAGGGGCACCTGGCTGATGTGGGCCTGACTGAGGACTGGGCACCCCCACCCCGGACTCTGCTCCATGACGCCACCATCACTGGCAGTGACGAGAAAGCAAGGCAGGATCTTCGGGGGCCTTGGTCTTGGGGGTGGTGGGTCCCAGAGAGTATGTGGGTGCAAGAGAGTCTCAGACGCTGGGGAGCAGGGCACACAGGGGAGCAAGATGGGGAGGACTGGGCGGGTCTCGGAGGGAAGCAGGGCTTCTCCTTGCGGAAGGGCAGCAGACGCCTCCTGAAGGCGGGGCCTGTGCCATGTGAGCCGGGGGATGCCTGCGTGGGAGTGGCTGGGCACAGCGGGGCGTGGGCAGGTGGAAAGGGCAGGCGTGGGGCCGGGCTGAGAGACGGTCTGTGCCCACCCGAGCTGGAGACTGGGCGCCGAGGGCCCTGAGGGCCTCGAGGGGCGCAGAGACAGGGCCGGTGGGGGCTGGAGTGGGCCAGTGGCCCTGATACTGAGTTGGGGCCTGCTGTACCACGATGGCCAGTGTGTCCACAGCTCTCCTGGCCCCCACCCCCGGCCCCAGTGGCTCAGGGCCACCCTGTTTTCCATCTGGGAAGCTGGCTGAGGTCTTGGGACAGGCCCAAATGACCCTAACGTCCTAGGGGGTGAGGTGCACCTACAAACTTCGGGCTGTAGTTGGAAGGCTCTTGAGGGCAGGGTGGGGGGCCAGGAAGCCTCAGGGAGCTCCAGCCTCCGAGTGGGCACGGGGGCTGCGTCCAGGCTTCCTGGACGCCCTCAGGCCGACTCCGCCTGGATGGAGCACTGGGAACGTCGGCTGTTTATGTGCCACCAACAACTGCCAGGTACCAGCCGGCCGTCCCTCCAGGACGGATGACACAGGCTCAGGAAGTGTGGGCTCATTTGCTCGCTGGTCGGAGGGCAGTGCCAGCTGGGCCAGGCCCCCGGGGACCACTGGCGTCCCCCGGGGCCTGCGTCACTGCCTGGCATTCTGGTGCCACTGCCCCAGGCAGAGGGGAGGAGAGGCCACGCCACACCTCACACCTCCAAGGCCCGGTCCTGAGAGCTGTCTTGTGAAAGGAGGCCCAGTGTCCCTTTTCCAGCCGGCACACAGCCCCGGGGAAGTCAGAAGGGCTAGGGACATGCATGGCCTGTCCCGCTGACACCTCAGGAACTGCTGGAAGACAGGGCCCAGCCCGAACCCCTGGTGCTTGGGCTCCGGGGATGTCCCAAGGCCTCTGTCTCCAAGGCCTGGGGGTCCAGACCCTGGAGCGGGGGCCAGCTGTCACCTCCTTATACCCACCTCAGCCCCGGGTGAGCAAACTGGCCTGAGAGCCTGGGGTCCCCCTCCCCCACCCCAGCCGGGTCTCTGCTGGTGTCCCCTCGCCACATCTAAAGCGGGGCCCGTGCCAGACTCCTTCCAGCTGCGGCCTTGGGGGACCCTGGCCGGCGAAGTCAGCAGCTCCTCTCCTCCTGGGGAGGAGCCCCGACTCCAATCCCCTGAACCGGGAGGGGAGCTCCAGGCTCCGACTTTGGAGGATGGGTGGTCAGAGACCCCAGGGAATGTGTCCACTGCCAACTCCCTTAAGGGGGGGCCGCCCTTCCCCTTGGGAGGGGCCTCATACTCCCTGTCCTTGAGGCTCTGGAAAAACCCAGCATTTAAAGAACCCTCAGAAATGACAAGGGAAGCGAGACCATCTCCTAATTACGTTTATTATCCTTAGATAACTGGAGAGTACAAAGTTCCCCTCTTTTTAACTTAAAAAAATGTACTTTCCGCACACCGATGCCCTGGGGGACGCGCCCTTCCTGTGGGGACCCGGCCTCCCCGGAGGAGCGTGTCTCGTCTGTGGCTGCGAGGTCGCATCGTTGGACAAGAAGAGACGGTCCCTCTGGTGACAGTGACCTGGGGCATCTCTACGAGGGCGAACACTGGTTAGGAGTTTTCTTTTAGCAACAAGAACCACCCACTTACTGATCCCGACTACGGCACTGCATGACGACACCCACGGCACACACCGGACGGACGGGGCCACCACCTCAAGGGACAGGGACACACGGCACATGACACGCGGCGGGCAGGCGTGTGCGCATGCGGCATCGCAACCGCCTGAGCCACGCACGCCGCCGCCGCTGCGTGGCGGGGACTAGACACGGGGCACGGGCTACGGGAGTTTCAGCACGTTAATCTAAGACACAGCACACGGTTGGAGGGGCGGCGGCTGCGACGGGGCACGGGCCACCCCTCCGGACGCAGAGGCGGCTCGGCGCCCCTGGACGCGACGAGCCCGCCTTTCAGCACGACCGACCACGGTCTAAGGGAAGGTCCATGCGACCCCCCGCAGCGGGGTGTCCTCGGCGAGAGCTGGCCCGGCTCCGTTAGTTCGTTGTTTGACTGAAGAGGGGCCAGGGCGGCGCAGGGAGCCCCGGGCTGCAGTTCCAGCTGCAAAGTTGGGGGCGGGGTTCCTCCCAAATCCGTCGCCCTCTGGCCCGAGCCGGAGACACGCGCGTTTCCTGGATCAGTGCGATCGGAGTCGCCGGTGTCCTTGTGGCAGCTGCGTCGCGGGGACGTCCGCGGGGGGCGAGGCCGGGACGCCGGCTCCCGGGCCGAGGCGGCTACAACTCGTCGGACCGGATGACGTGGAAGAGGGTGACGTTGTAGAGGACCTGGTGGCCGTTGTTCCAGGCGTACAGGGCGCGGTCCTTGGGGTTGTAGTCCAGCATGGAGATGTGTGAGTACTTGTTCTGGAATGGGATGTCGATGTACTCGTAGGTGGAGGCGTTGGTCTGGTAGGCGTAGTGCACCTTGGTGCCCCCCGAGTAGCCGTTGGTGACGTAGAGGGTCCCGCAGATGATGAAGGCCTCGCCGGCGCTGCGCTTGGGGTAGCTGGTGTTCCAGGTCTGCAGCACCTGCAGGGACACGGGGTCCAGCCTGCTGACCACGATGTTGCCGGCGTTCTGGTTGGTGGCGTAGACGGCCCACAGCCCGTTCTCGTCCACCATGAGGTCGATGTCCGAGTGGCCGCCCCAGGCGTAGTGGTACATGTTGTTGTAGCCGGCGTAGTCCAGGCTGCGCATCTTCAGGATGCTCTCCGACCGCAGGTCGAACCGGATGACGATGTGGCTCTGGAACTTGTTGAAGTAGATGGAGCCGTTGTAGACCACCTGGCCGGTGCCGGACCAGGGGTGCGGCAGGCGGTGCGACGTGAAGTTGTCCGTGGCCATGAAGTCGGCCATGGACCGGTACTCGCGCACGAAGCGGTTGTTGTGGTAGCCGTCCATGTACCAGACCTGCGGGCAGAGCAGACCGTCAGCGGCCCCGCCGGGGCGGGCGCCCAAAGGCGCTGAGGGACCCAGGGGAGCGTGAGCACCTGGGTCCCTCAGGGACACTGAGGGGCACAGCGCTGCATCCCCCGTCCAAAACTCCAGACGAAGAGACGTCTCGTCTGGGGACCGGCCAGGGGAGGGCGGCACCCGAGTCTCCCGTGGGTGGCGAGGGACACCAGGGCCAGCCCTCCGCTGGGCGCCCCCGGGCTGCGGGCACACCTGTGTGTTCACTGCTCTCACCCTGGCCCCGGGCGCGCAGTGGGGGCTCACACTGACTTGGGGGGGAAGGAGCTCCACCAGGTATGAAGCCCGGGCCAGCAAGGCGGCGTGTGGAAGGGCATGGCCGCCTGACCCGTCGTAGGCCTGGGCACGTGCAGCGGGCATCTCGGCGCCGACCCGTGATCGAGGTCGCCGGCAGGGGCACCCTCCCACGCTCTCCGTGCCACCAGGGGGTCTGTGGCAGCAGCTGGCATTTGGGACACAGCAGCGAGGGCCTTCACTGTCATTCAGGGCGTGAGAGACGGCGTCCCCAACAGGAGTGCGAGCCCCCGGAGGCCAATCCCGGGAGCGGCCCCCATCTGGGGTGACGGGATGAGGATTCGCATTGTCGCTTAAACGCCAACTGCCTCAAAACTGTCTACACCTTGTACAAGACGCTTTAGCCATTTTCAGTGGCGGGGCTGGCGGCTGCCCCCCTCCGCCCCGTGTGCGGCCCCCACCCCGGTCCCCCCTCCACCGCCCCCCACTGCCGGGGAGGCTTGGCATGGAAGTTTTCAGGTGTGGCGTGATGCGGGTGCTCAAATTTTTTAAAGTCAGAACCGTGTTCCTGAGACATCCATTCAGATGTGCTTTTTGTTTCTAATGAGATTAAAAAAAACCTGGGTCCTACTTGAGGCTTTTTGAATTTTCAGCCTCCGAGATGAGGTCATAGATAAGGGCGGAGGCAGTGCTGGGCTGTGAGGGGCAGGAAGGGTGCAGGGCAGCGTGCCCCTGGCCTCGTCACCCTGAACAGGCCCTCCTGCTTCTGCTTGCCTGCCTCCCGAGACGGGGAGCTCACTGCTTCTTTGAAGACAGTTCAAAGACGCCCCCGAACCCTCTCCTGACCTCCAAAACTGTCCGCTGTCTCGGCGAGGTGGGCACTTTGTGGCCGTGTGCAGACACCTGCCCCCACCCCTATCCAGGACGGAGCCCCCAGCAGCAGGGCAGGGTCCGAGTGCCCCCTTACCCAACATCTATCGCCTCCTTCCTGTGGACAGAACCGGGTGCAATAGGCATCAAATTATTAAGGATTTTTAAACCGCCCTGCCTTCCAGTAAACAACGCTGCAGGAGACTGCAGTTTTGAGGGAGCAGGGAGAATGATGTTCAGCAGCCGGCTCTCGGTTTGGGGGCTCCTCCGGGTTGCCAGTGAGAAGCCCCTGGGCACAGCAGAGAGGCCCGTGACTGGAAGCCCCGGGGCCTTGTGACCGGGGCTCCCGTCCCAGACTGCTCTGATCTCCTCCTTCCTCCCCCCTCCTGGCCAAGTCCCCACTCAGATGGGATCCTGTCACCTCCAGGTGCGTCCCTGCTGCCTGGCCTCGCCCAGAACCAGTCCACACAGAACAGTCCCAGTCCCCCGGGGGTGAGCCGGGCACCGGCGTTTGGTTGACGCTCTCGGGTGCGCGGCTGGACGCTCGGACGGGGCCTCGGCCAGTCACCGTGCACTGGACCACGCTCGGTCCTCTGCAGGGGTCCTCGGGCCCCGCACGCTTCACCCGGAGGTCCTGAACGGCCCGGGGTCTGGGTCCGAGCCCCGCCCCACTTGGTTAACTGGTTTGAGTTGCGGCCTTGGTGCCAAGATTTTAATAATCCTGCTGACGGGTTGTAATGAACAAGCCAAGTTGGAAGCCACCGCTGCAGCTGCGCCGTGAGAACTCGAGGCCAGTCCCTGCCCCTGTGTCCCCCCCTGGGGCCCAGCTCGGGGCGCAGCCCAGCGTAGAAACGCAGCGAGTCTCCCAGTGACTGCTCAGGGGCTCCCGTCCCCAGCCCCGGTTCCGGGGGTGCCGAGGGGGGTCCCCGGGCTAATGCCGGGCAGCTGGGCGAGCTCTCCTGCTGCTGCCATAGCTTAGCTGGGCCCCGACCAGGGTGCCCTGGCAGCCCTGGGCCTCTGGCCACACCCCGCCCCACCCCGCCCTCCCTCCCAGCCTGCGTGGACCAGACATTGATTTTCCGTTTTTTTCTGGAGCGAGTTATTGGTCTCCTGCGTGTGTGTGTAATCAGAACTGGATGGGAGAACGCAGAGGAGCAACCAAACACAACAGTCTCTCCCTGAACACTGGCAGGACCCGGGCACATGCCACTTCACAGGCTGGGAGCTGGCGCCCGGCCTGCCACCTGCCCCCCACCTCGAGCTCCGAGCAGGCCGCAGCGCCCCTGCCAGCCCCGCTCCCCCCTCCCTCCCGCCCTCCTCCTCCGTCCCTCCCCAGGGCCGCCTTCCTGGAGGGTGAGCAGGTCGCCAAGCCGAAAGCAGATGTCTCGTTACCAGGAGCGCCCATCACCACCCCAAAAGCAGGGGAGATGAACTGCGCTCCCCCGCTGGCCCCGGCCTCTCGGCATAGACGAGCGGACGCTGTCTCAGACCAAGCGAAGTGCCAGCGCACTGGGCCCAGGGGCCTGTTTGCAGCGCCAGGCACGGTCCGGTCCTGAGCACCAGGGTCATTCCCTCTGGCACCAGGCCACTGCCCCCTCCCCCCCCCGGGGGGTCGGAAGGGGGCACATCAGGAGATTCAGACCGCCGTAGACCTGCGTTAACGAAACCACTGCCAACTCTGGACCGTGGGCAGGCCACGCGACCCCTCCTCACTCACCACTCTCTGACAGAGCTGGGTTTCCTGGGTGGGACATGGACCATCAGCCAATTACACAGAAAATTGGAGGCACCAGCTAGCGGCCATGACACAGAAGGTGAAAGAATAACCACCTTCCCGCACCGCGCCCGAACCCCACGGTGTCGATGTGCCCTCCGGACCCCGCCTCCGGCAGACCCTGGGGGAGGGTCCAGGAAGACACGGCTCCCCGTGTGGGGGACACCGGGCTCTCCTCCCCCTGGAGGTCCCCAGAAGCCCGCAGTCCTGTCCCCACATCTGTCCTTCCCAGAAGGAGGGCAGGGCCATGTTTCATGTACACGAGGCCATGTCTGGTGCCGCCTGCGAAATGTCGGGACAGGGACTCTGCAGAGAGAGGCCAGACTCCCCAGAGCGGCTCCCAGGGTCTCGGATGGTCCAGCCTCTTCCCCAGTCCCCCCGGAGGCAGTTGGGTGTTTTCTCCGCCCTGGTGCTGGTTCTCTAAATGGCCCGCAAACCATCGAAGGAAAGGGGCTCCCGACTGCTGGGCGTGGGTGACAACGGTCAGGCTCCTGGACATGAAAGGACAGCAAAACTCGCGCAGCTTCCCTCCTGCACCGAGAACTCGGGCGGACCCTTCCTCCGGAGGAAGCTGCAAACCCGCTGTCACAGTGCCCGGCGGCGTGTCCAGCTCTCAGCCCGCCGGGCCCATCTCCCCACGCCCCAGAGGGGCCCCTGATCAAGGTAAGTACAGCACTTGCTTCTTTCTCTGTTTTGAGTTTTTACCCCAGCGGGAAAAGTCCAGGGAAAAAAACAAGAAAACCGGGTCTGCTTCTTAAATCAAAAGGGACAGGAGTTTCCCTCAGCAGGAAAGGATCGGCAGATGAAGCACAAATGATGTCGTGGGAACGAGAAAGGCTGAATCGACGCTCCTCCCAGGGCAGAGGCTCTGGGTGGACAGGACAGCGGCTGAAGGGTTTCGGACGCTGAGCATCCACCCAGCCCGAGGGACGCAGGCCTGGGGAGGCCCCTCGGGGTCTGCTGCTTCCTCCTCGGCCACCATCATGCTCACATCCGGCCCCTTGGTCTGTGACAAACCACCAGGCTCGGTGCACAAGCCTGGGCGTGCTACGCCGGGCGGTGGGCACACTGAAAACGGCGTGAGAGCCAGACCCCCAGGGGTGGAGACCACCTCGTCCAACAAGGGCACAGGCTCATTACAACCCCCAGGCCCGGGCCGAGCGGAGGGGCACTTACCCTGTTATCACCTTCTGGGGCCAGGGGGTCGGTCATCCAGGACCCGAACCTCGAGCCGGACGTCTTGATGGTCACGGGGTCACTTATGCCCGTCAGCTTGCCGCAAGCTGGAAGAGAGCCAGAGCGCAGGGGACGAGTGAGTCCCTCGGCCGACCGACGGCCCACCATGGAGGATGCACGGTGCCCTCCGTGCCCTTGGTCTGAGGTCACTGCCAGAGGGCAGCTCACGCCTGGCTCCTCCTGGTGACACCCAGTGCTGAGGGCCAGAGAAGCACCTGAGGCCAGAGCAGCAGGGGAGGGAGCGGCGGCCGCCCCTCACCTCCTCTCCTCGCTCCCCACCGGGCACGCTGCGTTCAGGTAGTGAGACTCCGTGCAGGATGCTGTGAGCCACCGTTTGGTCCGTAAAGCGAGGGCAGGGGCTTCCCTGCAGCCCCTCTCTGCTCCCGCCCCTCAGGGGGAGCTGACCCGAGAAGAACCAGGGGCCCCCCCCAGCCTGTGAGATTTTCCTGGAGGGTGAGCGTGGCCCCTCTGCCTGGACAAGACTCCCAGAGGCCAGAGAGCCAGGGCTCCAGGGCAGGGACAGATTGGGAGGCATGGCACCTTGGACGTGACCCCCGGGCCCTCCCAGCTCACAGATGGAGGCTGGAGACGGGGTGGCACATTCTCAGGGCCTCCCTGTCATACGGGCACTGCCGAAGCTGGACGCCAGCCTTCCTGCCTCAGCCCCAGCCCTTCCCACAGCCCGTGGGCCCTGCAGGCTGCGCCTCATGGTCCTGGGTGGTTGCCATGCCGCAGGGACCCTCTTGCCCCACCTGCTGCTGACCTGTGCACACAGACACTCCCAGCCTCCAGGGCAGCGAGCTCCTGAGCCCTACAGGGCGTCCGGGGGACACGAGCTCTCCGTACCGTCCTCCCCTCCCCCAGGCCTGGCCTGCTGCATCCCACCCCAAAGGTGAACCGGTGGGTCAGCGCCCCAGCTCCGCGTAGAGCCCTGGCCACGGGCCCATCTCCCTGCCCCATACCCTTGCTCAGCTGTCCCTCCACCTGTGATGCCACCCGCTTCCTGTCTGTCTTTCGGGGCTGGACCCAAACTGGCGGCTCTGCCAAGGACCTCTCCCTTCTGAACCCCACCTTCCGTCTTCACGGACATGTGCGAGTGGCCACATGTGTCCTGGGGCCACGTTGAGTGACGGGGCCTTACTGCCACGGGCAAGAAGCTTGTGGTCACCTGTCCCCCAAGACCCAGCCCGAGAGGGGTCCAGAGCAAAGGTGTGAATGAACGAACGAACGAACGAGTGGAGGAGGGCACGACTCATCGCTCGGGTGCTTCGAGATGGCAGTTTTCCTCTCGGAAGATCCTCCCCAGTCCTTGCTTCACCATCTGTCCCAGCAGAGGGGGCGGGAGGCAAACTGTGGCACGGGGACAGCTATCCCTGTCCCTGGTCTACAATGACGGCACCCACCCGGGAGAGTGGCGGTGAGGGTTACAGCAGCTGGGCGATGGGGGGCATCGGGCAGCAAGCCAGACACGGGGGCCCACTCAATGGAGGCCACACCACCGTGGACATGCCGTGGACCTCCCGGCCTGTGGCCACGTGGAAGGGGAGCCGGCTACTTCAGGGAGCAGGTCGCGGGTCCTGGGCTTGGTGCCCCTGCCCTAGGCCTCCGGGCTCGGGCCGAGTGCCACCCCCTAAAGTTGCCGAGGAGAGCGGGCAGGGCGGGCCCAGCAGCCCTGGGGCCCTGCTCTCCACACGGCTGGCAGCAGGGGCTGGCAGCAGGTCCTGGCCTGGAGGCCGCCCTGCCTGAGTGGAGTTATTTTTGGTTCTCCATCCAGAATGGCTCTGCCAAGACCTCAGGGACTGCCAGGATCTAAACAAACCCAGGGCAGGGCCTCGCGGCCCCGTGCAGACACACGCAGTCCCCGGGAGTGGCCCTCTTCTGTCGTCAGGGTGCTCAGGGTGTGTGTGGGGGTTTTGGGGGGACTCGGCAAGCATCTGAGTGGGAGCTGGGTTCCCGGACGCACCCACTGAGCACGAGCCCAGGGGGCCTGGTCGGACTCCCCCCAGGAACCCGAGCAGAGGGCGGGGAAGGCGGTGCAGCCGCCCCGCCTGCGGCCATCACAGCTACATCTGCCCGCTGGGGACAGCTGCCAGCGCTGGCTCTGTGGCCAAGGGCTGCCGTCCCGGTTCTGGGCTTGTCACGACCCCCGGGCAGGGAGACAGGCTGCCGAGACGCTGCCCACTTGCGAGGCTAAACTAAAGGCTGAAGGGAGCAGCCACAGGGCGCCCAGGGGGCGATTGAGTTGCTGAGTCTGAACAGAAACCCAGGCGAGGAAGCAGCGGCAGCTGCTGGACCTGTCCGTCCGTCCGTCTGTCATCTGTCAGTCTGCCTGCCGCCTATCTGTTCGTCTGTCTGTCTATCCGTGTATGCCTCCACCTACCTACCTATCCTGCCACCTACGCCGTGGGGGTGACTGTGTGGAGCCGTGGCGTGAATGACACCCATGGATGCATGGTAACCCCAGGGCACAGGGACTCTGCCACCTTCGCTCCACAGAGGGAGACAGGCGAAGCCCAAGCTGGTCACCTGTGGCACTCACCGCCTCCCCTACATGGGGTCTCGCAGCTCCGTTCATCTGAGTCTGCATGGTGCCGCCTCCCTACAGACCCTGGGGCCCTGGCTGCAGACCCCAGCCCAGCAGGTCTGTCTGCATACCCAGGCTTCGAGGAGAGAATTAATGCAGAGGTATGGTCAAGGGGTGGCCCTGCTGCAGGGAGAACTGGCCCCTGAGGGCCTGGCCACCTTCTCTCCACTCCCCAGTGAGCCGTTTAGCAGCCGGAGGGTGACCACATGAAAGACCCAGGACCCCAGGCCATGAGGAGAACTCACCCAGCTTCTAAAACTAGGCCAGGTGGCGAGACTGCTTGTCCCAGGAGGGGCGGTGTGCCCCTCAGAAAGGCCCTTCATTGCTTGTCATTTGTAACTTGTTGCTCTCAATTTCCCTTATGCTCCCGGACCCATTCATGGCAAAATATGGAGGTTTTATCTTGTTTTCTCCCTGGTTACCCAGCCTGAATACCGAGGAGGGGGGCTGCTTTGGGGGCAAAAATTACAAATACCCCTCCTCGACTCTGGGTTCTTCAGAGGCCAAGAGGGACCCCACGGCGAAAGACTTGGGAGGGTCTGGGACAGAGGGTGGTGACAGGGAGCTCAGGGCCATCGCGGGCAGAAAGCCAAAGACCCGACAGTGCCCGACAGAGACAACCGCACAGCCCCATCGCCACGAACACAGCCCCGCACCCACGGGCACTTCCAGCATCACGCTCACCCTTCGAATGTCCCCCGTGGAGCGGGCTGGCCAAGGCTGTCCAGCCCACAGCCCCCCACCCTTGGTGACTGTCCCAGTCACCGAGCCCCTTGCACACCAGCACTGGGGCACCAGGAAGCACGTCCTGGAAACACACATTAGACACTCGCTCATTAACACGGATCCGTTCTCCAAGCCAACACGCCTCAGGCTTTCTCGGGAGGGGGGGCCTGAAAGGTGCGTATCTTCGAGGGAACCGAGGGCCGAGTTGAAGGTAATCTAGATTGGGGGAGCCGTGCGGGAAGGCCGGCCGCCCCCACGCCCTGGCCCAGGGCTCGTTCTCTCTCTCACTGACCTCAGTGTGGCCCTTCTTCTTCTGGGGAAGAGGTGCAGTTCATAGGAAGGGAGCGTGTGGGGGGGTGGGCTGCATGAAAAGGGGGCCAAGTCGGGACATCAGAGAGAAACCAAAGGGTGGCTTCTTCAAGGAGCAGAGGTGCCCCGCGTTGCTCTACGAAAGACACTCTGAAAATGAGTGACCTTTGTCTTACAGCCGGCAGCTCGAAGGGCCAGCTCAGCTTTCCAAAGAAAGCCTAGGAGGGGAAGTGGGATTTCAAGGGCACCGTGGAAAAGTGGGTTTGGACGCTGACATGGGGAGGGCTGTGAGACAGTAACAGGAAGGCCGGTGAGGCAGGTGGGTGTTCGAGCACCGGGGAGAACGCAGGGGGCCGGCCCACGTCAAGGGGACTTTTAGAAAATATGATCGGAGGTCGGGGCTCCCCGGTCCCACCTTCCCAGGATGGGACCTGTCCCACTGTGGTGTGATTCCATGTGCCCTTTTCTACGCTCGGTGCCGCATCTGAGCTTCCCCAGCCTTCATCCCCGACCTGGAGGGAATCTGAGATGTCCGTGCCCTGAACACCTCGCGTCTTAAGAACTCGCCCCGACACACACGCACGCGTGCACACACTCTTCAGGTGGTTTCGTAACATCCAACATCATCCTATTTGTCCCAGATGTGCAGCTCAGGGGGGTTCTGGGGGCTGGCCTCCGCACACGGCGGGGTCCTGCGCTGCTCACACGGGGCAGCTCGCGCGCCTCTTTGTCCCGGTGGCCCTGCCCCGGAGCCGGCCCTGGGCTCCGGAAGCCAGGCGGGCGCTGTCCACTTCAGCACCACGCCCCCGCGCTGGCACCGGTGCGACCTCGGTGGGCGGGGCCGCGCCTCGCCCCGCCCCGCAGGGTGCTGGGCCTACCTAGCTTTTGCATGCACGCACGGAGCCTCTCTTCAAGATTGGACACTCTGTTCTGCAGCTCATCGTAGTCATAGGCGCCAATTTCCTCTTGGAGCTCGTTAAGCACTGACGTCAGATTCTGGACCTCCTCCTTAAACTGCAAAACCAATTTGGCATCGGCCTTGTACTCCTCCAACACAGGTATCAAAGGCCTAAGTTCATCCATTTTCGCTTTTATCGCCTGCAAGGTTAAAATAAGCTGGGTTCAGTGCGATGCGTGCAAAAACTCGTCACGCCCTGCCGGGGCCTGGCCGCCCAACGCGCGTGGGCGCGTGCACACTCCCACCTCGGGTGCGGCCATTCGCCGTCCAGTCCCACAGAGTTAGGAGAGCACATGAAACAGTCTTCGGAACACCATCATATTTGGGAAGGTCTTTATTGTCAGGTAGAATGCAACATCTTAAGGTTACATGCTTTAAGTCACATACACAAAGTTTCTTTCTTTTTTTTTTTTCTTTTCGTGTTCAAAAATCGCATCGACAGGGTTCAAAGGGCTCACGGAATGCATCTAGTCACATGCAAAAGAGGGTCGCGGTCGGTGTCAAGGTTCCTTAGTGAAATGGCGCTAAGTGTCGGAAAGTAATAGTAAAAATGCAGGGTGCAAAAAGCTGTCTGGCCCTCTTTCATGGGGACACGGACACACGCTTCTTCAGTCACTGCGGCATTGAAAAAACGCTTTTAAGTTAGCCCTGCAAGCAAGAAAACGAAAGACCGTTGAAGAGCTACCTCACTAGCCTGCCTCACACAGATAGCCACTCACAGACAGATAGGTTCACGGTCACTTAAAAAAAAAAAATCACACTTCCGTGCTAGCGTTAGTCCAAACACACTGCCTGGTGGATGGAGAGATTCTGTGACAACTGCCGGGGACATGTTCAATGCCAGGAAAGCGTGGTGCTAGGCAAGACTTGCGTTTCTCTCCCCCCCGAGGCGCTGTGCCCCGAGCCTGGGGACAGGGAGGGACAGCCGAGGGGCCTGTGCTCACGCCCACGCCAAGGAGCAGCTAGCCCTGGCTGTGGGGGACACCCTCCTCTTTGGAGGACCCTGACTCTACCCCAGAGGAGGGAGTGCTGGCATTTCAGGGAGAGACACAAACTCTTTTCGGTCAGGCAGGTCAAAATCTCTTTCCGGGATAATATGTGACCGGTCAGAGGCAAGGACAAGGCGTCCGCCTGCCGCCAACCAGCTCGATCGCTCCTTCTGCTGCTCGGGAGCGGCCCGCTGTTGTTTTATTCATAACACAGATTTATAACTTCATTAGCTTGCCATTTCGTCTATGGCAGGTATGGCTTTAAAAGCGAATTCGTTCTTGCTTCACGCAGGAGCACATCAAAGGGAAGCGTTGGCAGGGAAAGGGCCCCGAAGGCCGCAGTGTCAGCGTTTCTGGTCGGGGGGGGGCTGGGTGACGGAGCTGCTCATTTTCATCTGGGCTCGGCTGCTCATTAGCATGCATGTATACCTTAAGGAAGGTGCATATCCCTTCTCGGTCTAATAATTTCGAGGCTGCATTAATTCTGGGCGTATGTATACATACGTACTCATCTGTACGTATATATAATTTCAGGGCAAACTCTGGCTTTCAGACGCTGCGCGGTCTGGGCAAAAGGAACACTTACCACGGAGTGAGAAAGATGTTGGTGTCTCTCTCTTCCCTGTGACGCTACAGCGAGCCCAGCCGGGTCACAGCCAAATTAGGCCAGATGTGAAAGACAGCCCTGAGTGATCCCAGCTCGGAAAGGCCTCTAATCAATTAAGCTAATCCTCGCCTAACGGGGTTTACCTGCGGCAGCTGTGGAGCGACAGGGGCGGATGGTGTCCCTCCCCAGCTGGTCTGGGACTTGGCTCCAGCAGCCCAGGGCCCAGGACTCATGGCTGCAGGAGCCCCAGGTGCGGGCAGCGTGTCCCTTTCCAGGGACGGCAGAGAGCCAGCCTTGCTGGGCCCCCCCACCCCGCAATCGCTACTTCTAGAGGGAAAGGGGGGGCTGGGGGGAAACAAGCCGTCCTGGAGGGGGAAGGACACACGCACCTTGAACTGTCTGGCCAGGTGTTGCTTATGACTCTCTTCCACCTGTTTGAACTTGGACTCCAGCCCTTTCATCTGGTTCTCCATCTTCTCCACATACTGCAAGTCCCTCTGAGTCCGCCGGTCCAGGACCTCTATGGATTGGGACATGTTTTGCACCTGTCAAAAAGGCAACGGGTTCAAGGAAGGAGCCGTGGCGAGTGCCCGCGGTCTTACTCGCCTCCTAATACGCGGCAGTGGCCTCTCCACGTGGCCGCCACGCTGGGAGCCAGGAGGGGCCAGCACCTTGTTTACTATGCTAGTTAATCCCAGTGTTGGGGATTGTGGGGACCCAGCGCTCTGCAAACGCAGCCAGTCGGTCTGGTAACCCTTCCCTCTCCCTCTCCAATGTGGGGCGTTTGACCAGGGTGCAGACCAGGGTGCAAACCAGGGCGGGAGCCCCAGCTCTGCACGGGGTGGGTGGGGGGCTTGCGGCTCCAGGCCTACTTTCCCCTTCTTTCGGGAGCGGCTCCTACTCTATTCTGCAGGATGACATCGGTCAGGCAAACAGAGGCCTCCGTGAGGAGGAACAGCATCGTGGCCCCCTCCCTCCCAGCCCAGGTGCAGCTTCTCCTGCCCACCAAGCCCCACTGGGTGCCTCGAGTGGAGTGTTGGCTGGGCCCGCTCATGGAACGAAGCAGCAGGGGCTGCTCGGTGGGACCCCGCGGCGGGCCCTCCTCCCCCAACCCGTGCGCCATCCATCACACCCGGCAACATAACAGGGAGGCGCCCGCTCTGCAAACACGCACGTTCAGGCCCAAAGTCAGGAATCAATCACCCAGCAAATGAAGAATCACTGTTCTGCACCCTTACAGGCAGGTCTGAATGGAGTCTCGCTGCAGGACGGAACTTTAATATTCAACAGGGTTCCAGGGAGCTCAGGAGAAAACCGTTTCCACCCAGCCGCCTGCTTGTTATTTTTAGGAAGTCGGCTTGTGACTGGGGTGGGGGGGGCTGGCGAGCACGCTGGGGGGTGCGCAGGGCGGGGCGGGGCTCTGCCGGTGTCGCAGTGGCGGGCAGCGAGCGGGGCGTTTGCTCGGAGTCCAGTCTGGCCTCGAGGGGCGAAGGGACCTCCCCTCTAATCGCGAACCGTCATTTCTGAGTTTCTGCTGATTTTGGAAATACTCCCCCTTGGAGGAACAGGATCGTTTGGGTATGAGGCTCCGCTTTGCCTGGTGGCATGGTTTCCACTTCTTAGTGCACCCCACGCCCCCCAAAATAAAGTAAAATAAAATAAGAGACAAGTGAAAGTCTTCCCGGTGAGGGTAAACCGGTTCATCGTGTAGTTAAACAGGACGGGGGTTTTGTAGCTTGTTATTTGAAAGGAACGCACTCGAATTCCGCTCAAAAGTGCCGGGGGCAGGACACAGCCCGTGAGGCAGACCCTGTCTGACCCTTTCTCTCTAGACGCTTCGTGGGAACTACGACGTACGGGCTCTGTCACCTAAGTCTCCCCATGCCCCTCACCCCTCTTATTCTGTCACTTCCCATAACTGCCACACTTCTTTTGAGAAAAGTTGTCATGTTTGCTTCCCTTTGCCCCTCAAGGCCCAGACCAAATAGCACTGCCTCCAGGGAGACCTCCCTGATGCGCAGAGCCTGAAGCGGCCGCGTAGAACTTGGAAACGATGCCACCTTGCCGGCACAGCACCCGCACACCTGTCATAACCACTTTGTTGGACAGGAGACCCACTGAGGGAGGGGACCAGGCCTCCTTCACTCCTGTCACCGCAACTGGGGGGGTCCTCTCGCCTGGGAGGAGGTGGAGGATTGAGGCCCCTCTCTGAAGGTGTCCACTCTCTCGCCGCCTGTCGGCATCGGGGGTGGGTTGCGGACACACCCAGCCTTGCGGGGATAACTAATTGCTAATGTTGATGGGAGGTGTTCCACACACTGCGCCCGTCAGTCACTTATCTTGCCCTGGGAGGAGGGCGCCATTGCGAGCCCTAAGAGTCTGGGGCTTGAGCACCTTGTCTGCCGTCACACAGCGGTCAGCCACGGCCCTAGGCCTGGCCTCACCGCCGAGCTCGCCTGTCAAACGCAGGGCCTTGCCTGTGCGCATCTTTGAAGCACAGGGAGCAGGGCCCCGCCCACCCGGTGGCCCTCCACCCTGACCCCGGCGCCTCCTGGGACTCCGGGCCAAGGACGGCCAGAGCTGCTGGGTGCAGGCCCAGGCCCACCGTGGGCGGGCGGGTTGTGGTGTGGGGCCGCTGTGCAGACATGGGACGGAGGGGGGCCTCCCCATCACTGGGGATGAGCACCCGGCCAGGGAGGGTGGGGGCCACATCTGCACGGCAGCCCCCAGTTGTGCCCCGCCCCCAGCCAAGAGAAGAGGAGGGTGGCAGGGAGCCCGACCGAGCGGTGGCGGCGGAGGAGGAGCAGATGGCATCCCTGCCCCTTGCTAGCAGATTGCTGGACTGTTCTCACAGCAAACGGCTTCTGCCCTGTGGAGCACGGCGCCCGCCGGGGTGTGAACCGGCCCCGCTGCTTCAGCACTGACGCCGGGGGCCTAGGAGCAGGCGGGAAGGGGAGCTCGGGGGCCTGGGGTCCCAGGGGGCCTGCGGTCCCAGGGCTTCTGGAGCTTTCTGGAAGCCCGTACTGGCTTTCTGTCCCCTCCCCGGAGCTGGAGGTCCTGGTCTCAGCGACTCCTGGCCCCTGCAGCCCCACAGGCCCCTCCAGGCTCCACCTCTCTCCTCCGAAGTTCTGAATAATTAAAGGCTTAATTAGGCTTTGGTCTTGTCTGCTGTTAATAAATGTTTGTGGAACCTGGTGAGAGTGTTTTACCTTCACTCTTTTTATATGACTTACTCGGTGGCTAAAGAACACAGACACCGTCCCTCAGAGGGGAGCAGGCTTCAGGGACCTGTGGCACCGTCTGCCAGAGGGAACGGCTGCTCTGGCGAGCTCCACAGCGGCCAGGGAGAGGACCCTGGGGACCGGCAGGACCTGCTCTGCCTGCCGGCTGCCAGGGCCGCCCCGGCCGGTGTCCACTGAAGGCTGCTCTCTGTCCCCACCTGAGGGGAGAGCCTCGGCCTTGCTGCTCTGTGTGTGTGTTGGTGTGCACGTGAGGTGTGTGCATTTGTGTGTGGTGGGTGTGTGCGAGGACCTGTGTGAGGCTGTGACGTATGTGTGTAGGGTGTGTGGGGTGTGTACTTGTGTGTGATGTATGTGCGTGTGAGTGCCTGTGTGTGTGTGTGACACATCTGTGTGGTGGTGTTGCATGTGTGAGCTGTGTGCGGTGTGACCCTGCTCTCTCGGGGAGTGAGGGGCCCGGTCCTTGGGGGAGGGCGAGGAGTGGGACGGAAGGGCACGCCACTCCCCCCGTCCCCTGGAGCTCCCAGGGGGCCCCGACCCTCAGGACAGGAGCACCAGGGCTCTGGGGGTGGACTGTGCCCGGAGCCCAGCTGGCCCTGCCAGCCAGAGCGGCCGCCTCTGCGGGGCGGAGGCCACCGGCCTGCGGGCAGCCGGGACCCAGGTGTGAGCGCCCCCGCTAGGCAGCAGTCTGCGTGGGGTGAGTCGGCCCCTGCCTGGACCCGAGGTTCCAGTTCTTGAAAGGGGGCGGAAAGCTCATCCACCTCACACAGCTCTTGTGAAGGTAACTGCTCTGTGCTGTCCCCAGGCGGGTTACAAAGGTGACAGCTTAATCCGTCCCTGTACCAAGGACTCATCCACAACGGGGGCACAGCTACATCCAACCACGCAAAGGCAGGCTGGGCAAAAAGCCCCCCTGGGTAAAATCCAAGTAGCGAGCGCCCCTGGACCCTCGGAGCTGCTCGGGACACAGCCCTCAGGACTGCAGGGGGTGGGCACCTTGGGAGAGACAGCCCCCTGGGCCCCCCCCCCCCCGTGCATCGTCTTGGGCCACCCCTGGGGCGTCCCCACCTGGTCATTCCTTCATTCCCGAATATCCCCCGCGGGAGACAGTGAGGCAGTGGAGCTGGGATGGACCCTGCAGGCTGCCACGCCTTGGTGTGTGAGCACACGCACGCACACGCACCCATGCACACGCACAGACTCACCTTCTCCAGCAGCTGCCTCAGCTGTTTCGTGCGGGCGTCCCGTGAGCACATGGTCTGCTGGGGGGCGACCACTGTGCAGATGCACCTGCCCTCGCTGTCCTGGGCGGAGCTGTACACCTGCCAGCTCTCCTCAGGGTTGGTGGGCAACACCTGGAGGTGGGGGCGGGGTGAGGGGGCAGGGGCGGGGCAAGGCGGGGAGAGAAAGCGAGAGGTGAGACAGGGCACGGGGAAGGGTGTTTACAACCGCCCCTGGGGGAAAAGCAGAGGGAAGTGATCTCAAGACACGTTCTGACCGCGGGGAGGGAAGAGGCCCCCCCCCCCCCGAGAACAAAGAGACAGTCTCCGTCAGGGGCCCCAGGGCTGGGAGGGAGCCAAACGGGCCCAACTGTTTCCATTTTTTTGAATTCCAGGGATATCGTAGTTTTGGTATGTGACCTAATGGGCCCGTGAGGTAGAGAGGGAGGGGCGAGCCCGGGCCGAAGCCGCAGGGGAGGGAGGCAGGAAGGGCAGGCTGCTTGGCTCACAGTGGGCACGGGATCGAGAAACAAGATCTCTTCCCCTTAAGGCAGGCGGGGGAGGGGGGAGGGGGTGGCGCAGCCTCCTTCGGCTGCTCCGGAGATGAAGTGCCTGCTGGCGCGCCGTTAATAGCCGGGACCCAGCAGCCTGTTGGCCCCACTGGCCGCCTGGCACAGCCCGCCCCAGAAAACGCCAGGCGGCCACCTCTGTGCAGGCTGCCACCCACGAGCCGTTTGGTGGATGTCACCAACACCCAAGTTTCTGGGGACGTGCTGTGCCGGGTGTCACACCCAGTCCTGAGGTGTGCCCAAGGGCTACCAAGAGACCAGCGTGTGAATGGCCGGTGTCACCTTGCAGCCCAGCTCAGGTGGTCCTGACCGGGCGGAGGTCAGAGCACAGCCCCAGTCCCTCCCGGAGGCCCCTGCAGCCTGCCCAGTGGCCTCAGGTCACCTGGGCTATTTTTAGCGTGGGACCTGAGAGTCGGGTGGGGAGAAACTGGAGTGGGGATACATTCCATTTCATTCATCTCCAGCCCGGCAGCTCCCCATCCAGAGGCGGGGCCAAGTCCTTGTGAAGGAGGCGGTAGGTGCAGTTCTGACACGTCAGGTGAGGCGATAAGCGTCTCAGGAGGGGGTCCCTTGGAGGCCTCCTCCCAGAGCTCTGCACCCTCAAAAGCGACAAAAGGGCACAGGAGCCGTGTCCTTCACCTCTCCTTCCCGCTCCTGGCCGGCCGGCCGGCCCGGCGCACCCCTCCTTGGGCCCTCAGCCGGGACTAGAGGTGGTCCGACTCGCCCACCGCTAAGTCAGCCTTGCCCAGGAGCAGCCGGACGCTGGCCCCCACCCCCAAGCCTGGAGAAGAGAGGCGGGGCGGGAGGGGGGCGGGCGCGGAAGGCGAGGGGTGATCTCCGCAGCCGCGAAAAACCAGGGGCAGCCGGGGGCCTGGCCCCGGGCCCCTCTACACCCTTTCTGGACCGACCTTCTTGTGGGGATAAGGAGGGAGAGGCGCTTAGGGACTTCCGGAGGCACAGGCAGCCAAGGGTACCAGCTCCCCAGCCCAGAGCCAGGCCGGTCGAGTCCGGCTTTTACAAAGTAGGGCGGGCTTCGCTCGGAACCCTGGGTGGATCCAGCCAGACCCGGGTGGAGCGGCTGCGCCTCCAGCCCTCACTTGCCCAGTGACCTTGGACAAGTCCCCAAGTCCCTGCCTCAGAGTCCTAACCTTATCAAGGAGGAACTTGTCGTTAGTTGAGTGAGGACTCCAAGCCTGAGTGAGTCCGGGAGCCGGCATCCCCCACCTTGAGAGGGGACCAGGTAAAGCAGGGAAGCGTGGCCAGAGTGTGGGGGGACCCCGGCGGGAGTGGCCGGCGGGGCGCGTGGGGAGCAGGGTCGCCACTGCAGCGCAGAGGAGCCGCCCCCTGGCCCCTGCCCACACCCTGCCCCAGTGCCCGGTTCCCCGGCCGCGTCCGCCCAGCCCTGGGTCGGGGTGGGGAAGGAGCGAGGGAGGGGGCCGCGAAGGCGGGCGGCGGGCGCACTTACACCGGTGCTGCGGTCGAGCGTCCCGCCGCGGGCCGCCGAGAGCCGGGTGGTGTTGAGGCCCACGAGCGAGGGCAGCGTCTGGGACATCCAGTTGGTGATCATGGCCATGGTGCTGAGCACGACCCCGATCTTGAGCAGCGGCACCGACATCGCGCCTCGAGTCGCCTCCTGCGCCCGCGCCGCGCCGGCTCCGCGCCCCCGGGCGGCCTCAGGCGGCGGGCACCGCGGCGGGCAGGGGCGCCCGCCCGTGTCCCCGCGCCCCCTCGGCCCGCCGCCGCACGCCCGCCGCCGCCCGGCGCTCCCCGGCCATGGTGCGCCGCCTCCGGGAGCAGGGAGAAGGGCCGCCGGCGGCCTCTGCGCGCCCCGCCGCGGTGCGGGCACCGGTGCCGCCGCGCCCGCCGCACCACTCCGCGCCCTGCCTCCGCCGGGAAGGGCCGCCGGCTCGACTCTGAGCGCCAGGCGGACCGCGCGCGGGGGCCGGGGCGGGAGGCGGGGACAAGGCCGGCGACGCAATCTGCCGAGGAAATGGGTGGATTTTTCCTCCCGGCTCCGGCTCCCCGCCGCCCCCTGGCTGCTGGCTGTTAGGTCTGCAAACCTCAGTCGCCAGGAGTTGGGATGGGGTGACAGTGGAGAACAGACAGACCGCCACCCCGAAATAATAAAAGTCCTCCCGCGGCTTAGCTGCGCCGATGGGCCGCCCCCTCGCCGCCCTCGGGCCGGGTCCAGCGGGGCGGCGCCGACCCGGGACCTCAGAGACCACACTTCTTCCTCCAGAGCCCGCTGCTGGGGACCTCGTTCACGGGGAGCTCCAGGCTCCCAGCGGTCGGGCGGGCGAGCTAGTGGCGGCTGCAAAAGCAGCCCAGCGCTGGGGGAGGCGCCGGGGGTGTGAAGGGAGAGCCGCTCCGGAGCCCTGGGCAGCCGGGTGCTGGAAGGCCTTTGGGAAGAGGGGCTCTTCTGCCAGCGCGGGCGCCCACCCGTGGGCTCCCGGGTGCGGGTGGAGGGGCGAGCACACACCGAGCGGGAACTGGGTGTGGGACTGGGGCTCAGGCACCCCAGCAGAGGCGCTAAAAGACCCCGCCCACAAGTGGTGTGGTAGTGCGGCCCCGGGGCTGGGGCTGGGGGCTGGGCTGGGGCCCCAGTCCAGGTGCCCAGGCAGGGGCAGGGCAGGGCAGGCCGGCCCCAGCCCCCAGCCCCCAGGCGTCTGCAGCTTCAGCAGGAGGACGCGGGAGTCTCCTTGAGGGCTCAGGGTGACGGCGTCAAACACCTTCACGGGGCTTATTTCTTCTAAAGGCGACCGGAGGGGGGCTTTTCCCGCAGGCCTCCCGCACCCGCACCCCGTAACCCCTCCACGCCGCTCCGCGAATGCGCCTCCCATCCTGGGTGGAGGTCCGAGGGGCGGGGGAGCCGGCCCTACCGATGCCCTGCCAGGGGCATCACCTCGAGGCTCGGTCCCTACTTCTAGAGGGGACTCAGTTGCCGCAGGGATGGCCCTGGCCGGAGCGCTGGGTGTGAGATCCTCCAGCAGAAGGGGTTTCGGTGATTTGTTTTCCTGATGTTCGGCCAGGAGCGGTGGCAGCGGCCGGGCCGGGAGCCACCGATCGAACTGTTGGGGAAGGGCGCCACCTCGCAGCGCGCGCTGGTACTGCGAGCTCGCGGGGAGCCGGCCGGGCCCCGCCCCCTCCTCGGGGCCCTCAGCTTCCCCGCAGCCCTGCGCTCCCACCCAGAACGCACGGGCAGCCCACACCACTTTCCCCTGCAGAAGAGGCAGCGACCACTTATTTTTGGGCCCAACCCAGCCCAATCCAACCGACAGAACCCTCAGGCCGTCGGCGCAGGAGCCGCAGATATTTACCACCCAAGTGCCAGATGGGACGTACAGCGGGGCAGCAGACCCCAGACCGCAGAGGAGACGCAGCGGGCCCTAAACCCAGGGCAGACGTGACACCCGCCCCGCAGCAGCAGGTCGTGGGCGCTTTCCACAGCCAGACACCAGCGTGACCGGACACTTTCTCTCAACCCACCGAAGACACAATGGAGAAAAGCCCCTCAGGACGGCCCCTCGGTGCCGGACCCGGGCTCTGGGCAGCCCGGGTGGCCCTGCCTCTGCCGCTGGTGGCTGTGCGACCCTGGCCAAGGGGGTTAGCCCTCTGTGCCTCGGTTTCCTCATCTCGAACGGCTCTAATGATAGTGACCTTCCTCTCTGGGTGCTGTGTGGACCGAGTCAGGGCAGGAGCCAGCATGGCCCTCCAGTGAGGGCGCCAGTCCGTGTCCTCCCTGCTGGGCACCAGACCAAACGTGCCCAGAGAGGACCCTCGGCTGAAAGGAGCAGCGGGGCGGGGGGCTCGGTGCCCCCAGGGTTCTCCCCACCTCTCTTCCGAGCTGCTCGTGGCTAAAGACCACGGGCAGGAGACCACGTGGGTGTAGATGTTCCTGCAGCGGTTTCTCGTGGGGGTGCGGAGAGGCCGCCAGGCGCACACCGGGCAGGCACAGAGGAAACCGCTGGTCTCCAGGAGCTTCTGCGTGACTGCGCGCCCCTCGTGTCCCCAGAGGACTGGGGGGCACTCACAGCGTGAGGAGTGCACCTCAGCTGGCTTCTCCCCTCGCAGCGGAGCAGACCAGATGGGCCTCGGCCGGCGCTGAGTGCTGCTATAGAGAGCCGCAGGGCTGCCGGGCTGCCATCGGAGCCCCCGGCCCAGGGAGTCCCTCCCACTGTCCAGGAGACAGGCCGTTGGGGCTGTGCTGGGGGGTCTGAGACCCCCATTCTACCTCTCCTGGGCTCACAGTCATGTTGGGGGCCCGGAAAGGGCTTAGGCATCCCCTAAAGCCGGCTGAGAAAGCAGCCTTTTAAAATTTCGGCTCCTGCTGGGCTTGTCAGATGTGGCCCCATCCTGGGTCGCCTGCCTCCCTGGGGACTAAGCGGATCCGGGACGCCAGAGACTTTGAGAGCAATGGGGGGCAAAGCTGACCCCTCCATGCCTTTGCATCCCAGTCACGGCCTCCTCACAGAGTTGGACAGATACAGGGTCCCCACTCCCACCGCAGGTGGGGCATGGGGATGGGACGGGGCTGCACCAGGGTGCTGTGGCTGCTTCCTGCTGCCTGCACCCGCTGGGCGGTCCAGGGCGGCCACTCCCAGCTCATCTAAGGCTCAGCGAAGTTCTCTCCAGGGGCTGCGGTCTGTGATTCTGTAGGACAGACGCTGCCTTCAGGGCACTGGAGAGGGTTCAGCCCCCAGACCAGTCTAACCGGATCCAGAAGGCTCCACAGCATTTCTAGACGCACAGCAAGGACCGATGAAGAGTGACCGCATTGGGGACGTAGGGCCCGAGGCGTTGGCCAGCACCCTGGGTGCCCAGGGAGGAATCTAAATCCCAGTGTACACAGGGCTGCCCTTGAAGCCAGGGCTCCTGTTTGTGGCTGCCCACGACCACCACCATCCTGAGGGCAGCTGCTGCGCCCACGCGTCCTCCGTGACCTGCACGGGCCCTTTGAGCTTCACAGCTGCCCCAAGTGGCGCCCCTGCCGACCGCCCCCTGCTGCTCCATGCAAGGCTCAGAAGGAGACGAGACCTGTCCGAGGTCATGGGGTGAGCCGGCTACCCCTGGGCCGAGCTCTGACACATGGCCCGTCTGTGCCCACAGATGCACGGTGTCTCCGTCCCGTCAGCGGCTGTAACAGAATGCCACAGACAGGAGACAGCAGACACTCACTGCGACAGCTCTGGAGGCTGGAAGGCCGAGATCGAGGGGCCGCCCAGTCACACTGTGGTGGGGACCGCTCCCCAGTTCGTTGTCCTCACTCAGTGGGAGTTGGGGGGCTCCCGGAGCCCCCTTATGAAGCTCTGATCCCGTTCAGGAGGACATATCTCCCTAAGGTGCCGCCTCCGATGCGGCCGGCCTTGGGGGTGAGGATTTCAGCACGAGGAATTGAGGGGCACACAGGCCTTCACACCACATCACTCGGCCACTGGGAAGTCTCCCCGGTCCCGGGCCAGGCGCGATCTGCCCGACCACAGACACCTGTCGCCCGCATGGCCAGGTGCATGGCGCCCACCAGACGTGTCTCTGCTGGACGTTCCTAGGCCCTCGTGGGAAGGCCGTGACCTGACCACGGTGGGCCCCGCACAAGTTCACCAGCACACGTGCCGACGGGAATGCCAGCCTCGCCACCCCGGGTTGCTCGGCTCTGCAAACCAGCGCTGACGTCACGTAGCGGTGGGAGCACCCTGCCACCTGGGGAGGGGCCGCGCGGGGTGCCAGAGCGCGACAACAGACGCCCCACCACAGCTGTGCGACACACCCAAGTGTCCCCAGTCCAGATGGGAAACGGGGCCCACCCGTGCCCCTGCTGCATGGCGGAGTGACACCCCCAAAGGACCAAGTGCGATGCTCTCTGGCCGTTTATAAATACCCACATTTTCCCCCAGCTATTTGCACACTGTGGGCGAAGCAGGGAGAGGGAGGAGGAGAGAAAGGAGGAAGGAGGGCAGAGATGGAGGAGGAGGACCAGATGGGGAGGGGCAGGAGGAAGCAGAAAAAGGGGGGGTGGCAGGAGGGTGGAGGAGGAAGGGGCACCTGCGGCCGCCCTGCCCCCACCACCCTGTGCCCGCCCTGGGTGTGCCCTGTCTCTGCAGGGAAGAGGTTCCAGGAGCAGAGGGAGGGGCCCCTCTCCCAGCCGCCTCAGAGGACCACCACGGTCCGCCCCACCTCATGTCCCCTTCACTCTGCCCCCTCCTGTGGCCACAGGGGCTGCAGGGGGCGGGCTCAGAGGACCCGATTGCTCCGCACGCCAGTCCTGTGAGAGGCTTTTCCTTCTGGCTGACAGCCCAACGCCTCACAGGGCCTCCCCACCGGACGTCGGGCTTGGCCGTGCGGCCTGACGTTCTGGCCAGGGAGGCTGAGGGGACAGCTGCCACGTCTGAGCGGAAGCCTCAGAGCCACATGCAGAGTAAGGGGGGCTGAGCAGGCCCACCGGCCAGAGCTGGGGGGTGGCACGGACTGCCCCTCCCCCCGGCCCTCCCTCTCCCTGCACTGCTGTTCGGGACAGTTCCACACTGCGTTCGGGGCCCTTGGAAGGGCTTGGACAAGAGAATCCAGCAGGCACGGCACCCTCTGGGTGCCCGGGGGGTCCAGCTGGGCACAGGGGACGCCTGGGATATGGCGTCTGTCCGGAGCAGAGGACTCCGGGGGCTCCCACCCCCGCCCCGCTCCGCAGACGGGGCTCCTTCCCCTGGAGCTCGTGCTCTCCGGGTGTGGCCACCTCACACCCACCAGGACCCCTGCCTGCTGAGCCACCGCGGCTGCACAGACGGCACCGCCACCCAAGGCTGCTGCTGTCTCGGGAGAAACTGCCTGTTTTGAAATCCTGGGGGTTGCCCAGCGAGTGACTTAATCGATGACACTCACAGACACCCTTGGCCCGGCTGCCACTGTGTCAACAGGACACGGTTT